GTTGCTTGCTGTTTCTTCATTCTGGTTGCTGTTGGCTGTGTGTTGCTACTGCTGGCTTGGATCAGTGAGCTGATAATTGGGTATGAATTTTATGGTCTTTTGCAGTGTGCATGATGCACATACTTATGCATTGAACATTTTTACTCAGAGCTAATGTTGCCGAACCCTTGTTTTTTGAAGCTTGGAACTGGGTTGCGCATCATGATGGCAAAAAGAAATCTATCCCTAGTCACAACATTTGCCTTCCTTTCATGTGGATACCTTTGTAGCTCCTACCAAGAGGCTGTCTGTTGTATATTAGTAATAATTTTTTGCCCTTTATATACTTTTGTGCCATATGGAACAAAGTGTGTCATTTTTACCTACCAAGTATTCATTTTTTTTTGTTTTTGTTTTTGCGCAGGTTAAATCTATTGTTTTGCGTACGCTAAATCGAGCCAGGTTAAATGTGGCTATAGATTCCTTCCTTAAGACAGGTTAGGACAAGTGCCCCATTCACTTGTGCTGATGGGGTTCTGTTGTTTGATCATCTCACTTAATCATCAAGTCCCATATGCACATAAAATGAAGGCCCTTTTCTGATATCATGTGGCTTCATTGTGTTGTGTATTTATTTTGCAGGGAGAGTTCCAACACTGGAGGAGGGAAATAGGATGGAAAAAATATTCAGTTTTCCCTGGTCAAAAGAGAGGCCTGTTGTTCTCGGTATGCAACATGTATATAACAGCACCTGATGCACATTTTTTGGCGACTAAAATTCAAATTTGTCGGCGTTGGTTCAAGATACCGATACTAAATTTTTTTTGTCAATAAATATTACTTATTGGCAACTAAATTTAAATTTAATCGCCAAATAGTACTTTTGGCGACTAATATTTTCGTCGATGTTCAATAATTTAACTGGTCTTTTACTATTAATACCATTTTCTCAATTCCAACAAATCGACTTGAGAAGCCATTCACTGACTTACATTGGATGCATAAAGAAAGGACCTGTGATAACTGACTCTAAACTGAAGTGGTAGATAGGAAAACTTTTACCCCTCCCTCTCCTTTAAATATATATTTTTGTGTTTTTTTCTTTATGCAATAATGTATATATCTGATGAAGTATGTATAACTATTTGCAACCTAATTTTTGAGTTTTTTTTCTATTGCAAATATTTCCAGGTATGAGAAATCAGGACATCTGATTGTAGTGAATACGTCTTGCATGCTTATGGTCTTATCTATGTTCTTTCTGCAGAGGTGGTAGCATCACTGGCAACTGCTAGAAATAATAGGTCTGTCCATAACAATATGTAATTTATTTTGCATGATCTCTTTATTGTGGTTTATATATACATATATATATGTATTATGTTTGTTTGGTTTTGTTCTAGTTAGTCATGTTATCACATTGACATTCATTTGGTGAAGTAGGTTGGTTTCTTGGATTTTAGGATGTCTAATTGAATGCTAGACGACATTCTATGGAAGAGTTGACATTCTAAGCTTTGAGAATATTGATGCTAGTAAGCATCCCTTGAAGATTTGAAAGACTTGATTGATGGACTTGGTTCATCCCTTGATTTTGTATAGTATGCTATGTACTGTTTAGAGAAGAGATCTTGAATGTCATTCATGTAAAAACCTGTATTACTGGTATCATTCACTGAGTATCCAAGCTCACCCGCTCTTATATATATGTAGGTGATGAGCAAGAAGGCGACGACGCCTAGATGATTATTTGCAACTTGTTTTGGATTCGCATTTTTGTAGCATCTTGAAGATCATGCTTCTTGGCTTGTAGTTACTTCTTTTGTTTATGTCGGCTTGAGAAGCCTTTTGATCAAGATGTATTTTGTACCTTATTTCATTGTATCCAAGTTGTAAGCTATATTAAGACGTATGTCATTTCATTTGATCTATGCACAGCTCTTGTGGACTATTTAGTTCTAAATTTATTGCTTCCGCACATGTAAGCCCCATATGTATACTCTGATTGTGTGTGAACCCTTGCAGGTTGGCCTTTGGTAATCTCGGATTACTGGCCATCACGACATCATTCCACTAGAGGCGGAATGGGGTCGTGACATGGAACTTGTTGCAGTTGTGTTTGCATTAAAGATATGGCGTCACTACCTATACAGAGCTAAATATGAAGTGTACATCGATTTTAAAAGCCTGATGTACTTTTTCACATAGAAGGAATTGAATATGCGACATAGACGATGGCTTGAACTGATTAAAGACTATGATTTACAAATTCACTATCATCCGAGCAAGGCCAACACAGTGGCTGATGCATTCAATAGAAAGAATATGGGGAATCTAGTCTGTTTGCTCACAGATCGAAGAGAGTTACTGCAAGAATTTGAAAAGCTAAAGATTGAACTGGTGCCTTTTGAACAAAATAGCTTGATAGCCACAATGCTCGCTCAACTAGCGATTATTGAAGAAATCAAATAGAAGCACGTGAATGATGAGTTTTTGAAAAAGATTTATGATGAGTTTTTGAAAAAGATTTGTGATGAGTTTGAAACAAAGCCTAAATTGGGGTTCACAATTGAAAATTCAGTGTTGAAATTTAAAGGGAGATTATGTGTTCCTAATGACACAGATTTGAAAATAAGGATTTTGGAGGAGGTTCACAAGTTATTATTTTCTATGCATCCCGGAAATACCAAGATGTACCAAGATTTAAAGTTTGTGTATTGAAGGCCCAACATGAAAATAAAGATTACTGACTTCAACTCCAAACGTCTACAGCGCCAACAAATGAAAGTAGAATATTAGAAACTGGCAGGTTTACTTCAATAGCAAAACTCTTGCATCAATTCGAAGAGAAGATCGAAAGCTTTCACGAGGAATTTGCGTTAAGGATGTGGTCATATTAGGCGGGGAATAATGTCACAACTTGGGAATTTTATCAAATATTTGAGTTACGAATTCGATTTTAGATTTATGTAAAATTTTGTAGAAATCCCTATAATTAGGTAGATAATTGTAGAATTTATTCATCATAAGGTGGTGGAAGGATGTAGATAGCTTTCATACTACTAGATCATTGAAATTTATACATATGTAGACTATTAATTAAAATATATAATAGGCAATCATTTGGTTATAAAATGGAAGAATTAGATAGTTTCCACACCATTGGATTGTTGATATTTGTATATATATCTAGACTATTAATTGAAGATTTGAAGGCCAAAGGCATCATTTGGCCAAACTAACAAAGCAATGGTAAACTCTCCGTACTTCCAATTCGAACTTTACTTCTTGTGAACTTGCTATTTTCAATTCAAACTCTCTCTACTTCCAACTCAAACTCTATACCATCCTGAAAGTCCATCAGGGTGAGTACCACATGCACACAAACCATGGAAGGCCATGGCCTCCCTGCCTAGTATATATATATATATGGGTTCATTTTATGAGACATGAACTACCTTATCTAATTTTCAATTTTATGCTCACAAGATATACGACTATGCATTTAAAAATTTTGATTTTTAGAATTTTGATTTTTTAGGTGTATATATAAAATTTTGATTTTTTAGGTGTATTAGCTTATGGCCAAACGTGTGGTGTGTATACTTGTATAAATCTGTGTGTAGTGTGCTCAGCATCTCCATTGGAGATGCCCCAAGGATCCTAATAATGAGCCAAGGCCAGTAGTATTGCCCCAACTAGGAATGGTGTAGGAATAGAGCACCACAAATCCAATCCCACTCTACTTCATTGCTATTCCTACTTTTGTTCTAAAATTTTTCCCTATATTTCCAATACATTTCCAAACACAAGATTATGTCTCAAGATTTCAATATTTCAAAATTCCACTACATCTTCTGGCTAAGAGTGTATTGAAAAAGAGGAAAAAATTGGCCAGGTGAAGATTACTAGTTTAGAACAAAATGAATACAAAGAAATTAAAGCAAAATTTCATGCATAATTCTATAAATTGATGGCAAGAAGCAGTTAAATTGACTGAAAAAAATAGATACAAGCACAAACATACATACATACATATAGTTGGGTTTTGAGAGCATGTAATCATATAATTTGAAGAAATAAAAATTGGAGGAAAAAAAATTAAAAAAAGCAATGACCTTCTTTTGAGTTTGAGCTGCTTTTCTTGATACTTGAGTTTTGCACATAAAGATTCGATATCAGTATACAAAAACTCCTCCATCTTTGTGTTTTTATTTTTATCACAACTAAATAGAGAGAGAGAGAGAGAGAGAGAGAGAGAGAGAGGAGTTTTGTTGGGCTAGGGTTTTTAACGGAACTGACGAGAGAAAGGGGTTTGCAACCAACGCAAGATTTATATAAAAAATTCTTGCGTTGTTGAATGAAAAGTTTACAACCCTCATTTCCAAATTTAAAATCCGAAATCTGAATCCCTAATTTCGAAATTTAAAATCCCAAATTTAAAATGAAAACCCTCATTTATGCGATACAAACCTGAATGTGGGTGTTTGATGAAGGTGTTCCTCGTTACTGTTGGCCGTTGTTCGTCCTCTACGTCGTCAGTCTTCCCTTCGGAGTTCGGCTGAGTGAAGGAGAAGAAGATGGGTTGGATCAAATACGGCTTTCATAAGTTCAAAGGGAGAAGGGGAGCTATTTTGTTTATAATGAAAAGTCTTTTCTAAAACTGTTTTTTATTAAAAATATTTTTGATCAAAAAATGACTTTTGTAAAATCATTTTTAATTAAAAAATTTTTTGTCAAAAAACGACTTTTCTAAAATCGTTTTTTATTAAAAATAGTTTTGGTCAAAAAATATTTATGTTGAAAATTAAATTAAAAAAAAATTAATGTAAAAATGATTTTACCAAAATGATTTTTAATTAATTCAAAGTTAATTAAAACTGACTTCTTTAAAGTGATTTTCAATATCCAAAATTTATTATTATTTTAATCACGAAACACGATTTTTTTTTCTAAAAAACGACATTAGAAAAATCATTTTATCCTAAGAATAAAGTTAAAAACAGATCCTAAGTTGGACTAAAATGTTCAAAATGCCGCAATCAGGGAAATTGGCCCATTTCCGCCTCCCTCCTCTCCCCCCTTCTCTCTCAGTTTTCGCCCAAGGTAGGGTTTCAGATTGAGAACTGGCTCACCAAGTTGGCTCCTTTGTTCCATGACCAACTTCACCACCACCACCACAGATTCTCTCTCTATTCGATCTCTTTCTCCCTCTCCTCTCCCCCTCTCCCCCCTTCTCTCTCAGTGTTCGCTGCTCCCAAGATAGGGTTCCCATTGAGAACTGGGTCACCGAGTTGGCTCCTCTGTTCCACGACCAACTTCACCACCACCACCACAGATTCTTTCTCTGTTCGACGCCGTCGTCTTCTCTTTCTCTCTCTGCTTCGAACCCCCTCCGGTACCTCTCTCGGTGAGCCAATTGTTGTTTGTCTATAATGGTTTAAATTAATGTTTTTGTTTATCATCATCAAAGCATCATCTGAACCTCCATTGAAAACAGTAGGTGATGCTTTGGTTGAGATAATTTTCTTTTGGGCATCGCAATTTCTCCCTCCCTCTCTCTCTCTCTCTCTCTCTTTTTGCTGTGTCTGTTCTTTGTGGTTGGTACTTCAATTCATTGTGTATATACATATTTTTGGTTGTGTTATTATATACATAAGTTTGTATGCTTGTGGTTTGATTTGAAAATGGGTATGTCTTGGCACATTGGTTCTGCTCTTATCTGTTCTCAGTTGTGCTACATCAAATCTAAAGCGGCAATTGAATACGGGTATTAAGAGGATTGCAGATGCTCTAAGACATACCCATTTTCAAATTTGATCAAAAAATGGCTGAATACAGATCAAACCATTTCATCAAATCTAAATCAAATCAAGGGATTTGTAAAAAAATTTCACCAAATATTCAGCAGTCATATTTTAATGAAATTTCAAAAAGAGTAATTATTGGATATGCGTTTCTTTCATTAAAAATGGTTAAAACAGATTTTTAGGATAGGTTTGGATTTTTTTAGAAATATTTGATGAAATAAAAGAGAGTAAGGTTTGAGTGTTCCATATTAGATCAAGTGTTTAACCAAAATTTCTCTAAAATTTGATGAAAAAAAGAGACTAGGGTTGGAGATGCTCTTAGTATAGTGATCATGCTCTTATTTGTATCTCAGTTATGTTGCATCAAATCTAGGTAGCAATTGCATATGGGTTTGCTCTCATTCATCAATTCATTGTGTGTATGTATACATATTTCTGGCTATGTTCTCCTGCTCTTATTTGTATCTCAGTTATGTTGCATCAAATCTAGGCAGCAATTGCATATGGGTTTGCTCTCATTCATCAATTCATTGTGTGTATGTATACATATTTCTGGCTATGTTCTCCTGCTCTTATTTGTATCTCAGTTATGTTGCATCAAATCTAGGCAGCAATTGCATATGGGTTTGCTCTCATTCATCAATTCATTGTGTGTATGTATACATATTTCTGGCTATGTTCTCCTGCTCTTATTTGTATCTCAGTTATGTTGCATCAAATCTAGGCAGCAATTGCATATGGGTTTGCTCTCATTCATCAATTCATTGTGTGTATGTATACATATTTCTGGCTATGTTCTCCTGCTCTTATTTGTATCTCAGTTATGTTGCATCAAATCTAGGCAGTAATTGCATATGGGTTTGCTCTCATTCATCAATTCATTGTGTGTATGTATACATATTTCTGGCTATGTTATATACATAAGTATGTGGATTTAGTGCATGCATGTGGTTTGTATAATTTGACATTGGGTATGTCTTTAGTACATTGATTCTACATTATTTGTATCTCAGTTATGCTTCATTTTAATTTAATAACTAATCTATATGAGTTGTAGAATTTGAATGGATGTGCTATACTCATTGATGACTTACTGAGAGAGTTCATGAAAAGGCAAAGAATCAAACATTAGTTAAGAATTGGAGGCAAGTAATCTTAGTGACACTTTTTTTTTCTTTTTCTTTTTCTTTTTCTTTTTCTTTTTCCTTTTTTAAATGTTGTGACTGAGGAAGATGAACTAGACACTTCCTACTATTTTTGGTCTCAAAGGTACTGACTCAAACACACACAGAGTTAATGAAATGTTTGATTCTTTAATGAGAAATGGGCGTTAATTTTTGATTTATAAAATGGGTTTTTCTATATTATGAGTTTTTCTATTGTTTGCTAAATACTCATAAATATATACGGATCTATAAATACTTCTAAGTTTGCTAAATACGCTTTAAATACTGATATGGATTTTCCTATATTTATTGGGCTTTTTGTGTTTTTCTATTTTTTTGACCCTTTATTTGGGAGTGGTGATTGGTAAGTTGTGATAAAAAAAATATATATATATATAGTTTCAGCATTGCGTATTATTTTTTTAAGACCCTGTAAACAATTGCCCCCCTTATTGTATGCTATTGATTTGTTGTTTTATCCATTGAATTTTATTATATCAGTTTAGTCTTATAGTTTATTTAATTTCAATCTAAATTTTGTTGGTTGTTGCCCATGAGCTAACCAAATAGATCCAAAGGGGCTGGTTTGCTATTTTGCTTATGGTCATGTATTGCTTAACAAATATTCAAAATTTATTTAAGGTTGGAAGCAAAATGAATCTGAATGGGTGTAGGTGAAGATTGAAGAAGGTGATGGAGGGTTACATACACAAAACGGATGGGACCAAACTGATATAATAAATGGCTTTGGGTTTTTGGACAAAATAAATGGGGTTTTTTTAAGTTGTATTGATTTGTAAATGATGGGGGAATTAAGTTGGTTAGAGTTTGTTGTTGAATTACCCAGCGAAGAGTTTGCATTTAAATTTTATTTTTTTAAATTCTTTCTTTAGTACACTTCTTTCCTAAATTTTCCTTCTAACCTTATGTGATCAATTAAAGGAAGTTCCAAAAAGAAAGAGTTGAAAAAAATAAAATCCAAAGAAAAGATTGATTATTTTTGTAAATTAATGTTTTTATCAGTCATTAATTTATATATGTGTTGACAATGTATTGTGTTTGTTCGTAGTGTTTCCATTGGGTAACCAATTATTATTTTGCAACAACGTTTGCGTTTAGTTTGAATTGGGGTCTATAAAAAAACCTTTCATTAGTGTGACAATGCATGTGCTTGTTTTGAATTGGGTAGTTTCTTTTAATTAGGATATTGACTTTTTTTTTATTTTATATATATATATATTTTATAGGTGGATGAAGACTAGAAGCGAATGGTAATATTGACTCCTTTTTTTAAGCTTAAGTTTTTCTTATCTCTCTAATGATTTTGTATTTATTATTGTGTAAACTAAACGTGTACTTCTTTAATTGATGAGTGTTGAAAGAGGGGCAATCTCGAGTGAGCAACAATCTCGAGGGCATAATTTACACTATTTTTGGTTTTATGATTGACAAACTTTGAAAATGATTGACGTTGTATAAAGTTAAAGATTATTTTGAGGTATATTGATGTTGTGTAAACTTATATAGGTTTGGTTTGGTTTGAAAGGTAGACATTTGGAGGTGTTTGTTATTTAGATTTTGATCAAGAATACCATTTTCATATTGGCATGGCGTGCTCCAAAGGGAGAACACCATTTTTTTGTTCCGCTTTTTTTGAAGTTGTGTCTATAATAAAGGGGATTCCCTTGCTCAAATGTATGTTATCTATTCATTTTTTGTATGTCATGGGAAAACAAAATTTTAGGTATACTTGATTCTCAGTTTTCCTAGCTTAAGAGAGAATGATAAATGAAAATTATTCAAACAAAACATTATTTACACTGTGCCTTTAGGCATGGGCATACACTAGTATATGTATAATTCGGGTTTGGGTTGCTCGGATTGTTTGACGTCTTTGTCAAAACCTGTCCAAATTTAATTTAGGCTTATGAATTTTTGTCCAAACCTATACCAATTTTAAGATAATTTGTTCAAACCTTAAAAAAATTCAGACTAGATTCGGGTTGCTCGGATTGAGTCCGCTCAAGTTGCACTAGACAATCCTTGTTCAGAGCTCATCCGACCCGAACCTAATCAGATGGACCCCTGACCCATATTCCTTTCTCTCGCCCGTTTGCCAAGTATCGAATTGAACTGTTTCTGAGAACTTCTCTCACCTTCTAGACAAATACAGAGAGAGAGAGAGAGAGAGTCATAAACCCTAGTTTCACCTCCGAACTCACCTCTGTGTATTCAACAATGGAGACGAACAAAGACTCAATAGTGGATGTGAGATCAGTGGTCGAAGCTATATCTTCAGATGACAATGACGCTCCTCTTTACCAGGTCGAAAGCCTTTGTATGCATTGCCGCCAAAACGTATCTTCTCTCTCTCTCTCTCTATATATATATATATATATGCTGATTATGTAATTTTGTAGAACTGGTTTCTAAAACCATTGTGAATGTGACGATGCCAAAAGATTGTTTTTTTTTGTTCTTCATAATCTTGTAAATTTCACTGTAGGGATGGATTAGATAATCAAAATAGTATTTTTCACATATTTTGATTATGGGATAACCAAGCTCCTCAAAATTGTTTCTTTTTTTTTTTTTTTTGGTTGAGAATAACATGATTGAAAAGGATGATAAGAAGTAAGAAGCAACATTAATTAAGGCTTGGTTTGGCATATTAGAAAAAAGGTAAAAAGTTAAATAATCACTATCCTATTTAAGTCATATTATCTTATTTAAATTACATCACTTCTCTAACACATCACTTCAAACCCAACTCAAACTTAACCCATATTTCATAAAAAATCAAAAAGTGCACTTATTTAAATCATCTCAAACAACCCCTAATTGTCATGAAAGTTTTTTATTTTTTTGGATCTCGAGTAATCATTTTCACTTGTGAACCAGGGACAACTTACGCTATGTTTGGCATAGTTGAAAGTATTTTCCATGGTGAACAAAAAAAGAAGCCATTTGGGCAGTAAATATTTTTCACAAATGTTTTTCAAACTACTACCAATATGTTGTCACACTACCGCCATCACCGTTGCCATCACTGCTGCTGCCACCTCACCACTACACTGCCACCACCACCAAACATGGAAAAATGTTTTTTCCAGAAAACATTTTATGGAAAAAGCTTTTTTAGAAAATGTTTTCTGTTAATAATGTTTTTCGCCCAACGGAGCGGAAGTTTCATTCACTTTTCCTTTTCTTTTTTTGCTTTTGCTCCATAAACCCCTCCTTCAAAGCCAATATCAAAACACAATAATTGGGGTTTGTCAGCCTTTTCTGAATTTTTGCTTTTCGGTTACCTGGTTTCATCAAAAGCTTTTCATTAATTCATATCGGCAAATGTAGGCCTTGTTTCGTTTGTATTTGAGAAACATGTTTTGAGATAAAAAGTACGAAAATTTGTTTGGTTTGGTTTTTTTTCAAAAGATGTTTTGAAAAATTATTTTGAGAGAGAGTTTTGGAAAAAGTGATTGATTTGATGTGTATGAGAGAGATTTGTTTGGAAAATTTGTAAACCAAACAAGTTTTGGAAAAAAATTTTGGGAAAATTTGTTTGGTTTGATTACTTTTGAAAACTTATTTGTAGAGAATTTTTCTCAAAATTTTTTGAGAAACACAAACCAAACAAGGCCGTAATATTTATTATTGAGTTGAGATGCTTCCGAAAAAAAATATAGCAGTTACATGCATTGACTTTCATCTAGTAATCATGGGATATCAATCATGAATTTTTGAACGTTGTCTAATGTGGTGGTGTTAACAGGGCACAACGAGGTTTTTATTAACTTTGATTCCGCACTTCAGAAAGGTATGCTTTTGTCATCTTTGGGGAATATTGTCTACTTGAAAGGTTTAAGTTAACATGAATGTTATTGTTGTTACTTTTACTAGGCTATTGCTTTTCTTAGTTTTATATTATTTAGAAAGTTCCATTATGTTATGAAGGGTTAAGCTTTGACAATCTACCCTAGAAAAATGGGTTGAATCTCTCTCTCTCTCTCTCTCGTGTACATGCTTGCTTGATGTTGCCCTGCCTGCTTCATTTTCTTGTCTTGAGCTTATGGACAATCATGTGAAGGTTTCTTTCTATAGTAAAATTCTTTCTACTTGCAGATCTTGTTGTCAGCCTTTGAGTGTCCACATTGTGGTGAGAGGTAGTTATTTTTACGCCCTTTACAATTATGAGAATCTTTATCATATTTAGGTCATTTGTCTTTTCTAACAGGTCCTTATGTTATCTGTCTGGTCTATCTGTAGGAACAATGAAGTGCAGTTTGCTGGTGAGCTCCAGCCCCGAGGGTGTCATTATCAATTGAACTTTCCACCAGGTGATCAAAAGGTTGTCAATGAAGCACTTTTAAGTTATATAATTTTGCATTTATCAAACTATGCTATTGTTTTTTAATGAAAAGATGCTCATTAAGCTAAACTAAGTTGTCGGTCAAAATAACAAAATATTTGTTTGTAATGAAATTTAATTTCGTTAAGGCCCTGTTGTGATGTGCCTCTTTGCGGATTTCTTACTTGTGAAAAAGAAGAAAATTGGAACTATTTATATTGTCTATTTGAGCTTTGAACTTAATTCCAGACCACTTTCCTAATAGTTGAAGACTGTATATTGGCTAATTTTTACTCCTGCTTGAGAACTTATGATAGTAGTTTCTTGTGTATTTGAAATCATTTGCAAGTTCTACTAGTTGTTAGATAATTTAAAGAAAGATACAATCACTTTTTAAGATGCTTTGTCTACCCTTATGGCACAGTGACTTCTCTGAATTTATGCTTTTCAGCTACCTGGTTTCATCCAAAGCTGAGTAAAAATGTGGTTGTAAATATGTTCATATGAACTGCACTCGTCATTTTAGCCATCCTCTCCCACATTTGAGTTTGTAATTTTCATTTGTTATGTGTTCCTCACTGATGCAACAATGATTTCTCCTACTTATCTTTAGTTTGGGGTTACTCTCAATCTCAGGGGGTTTCTTTCTAGCTGGTTTGTAATTTTAAATTTTCTAACACCATGCATGCCTTTGTGAGGTTTTAGATGTAGCTAGTACATCTGCTCTCAAGCTCTTCCTTCTATTGTTGTTGTCATCGTTATCATTGTTGTTCTTGGTATATACATACAAACTTTTGTGCTACAAAATTGTTTCTTTATTTTCAAGCAAAATGTAAGTCGCACTGCTCTTACTTGCAAATGATACACATACAAACTTTTGCTAATGGCTTAACTGTTTTCCAAAGTTTTTAGGAAAGTAAAATTTTTAAAGTGCTATACTAATGGAGTTATTCTATGCAGATGCTCAATCGGCAAGTAGTGAAATCTGACACGGCCACTATTAAGGTATATTTTGGGTTCCACTTTTAACTTGACTTTCGTCAACTATACAATTTTCTTATTCTATTGGCATTATTTTAGTAAAATTATATTGAGTAAACTAGACTTGGCAGTCTGCTGGTTTGAATGTTCAAATAATTACTAGATTGTTTACATATGTCTATGATGGCTGTTCTACATACATACATATATTTTTATTGGGTGGGACTCTTGTTTCCTTTGATTTCCCTAGATTTCTCCCCCAACCCATTTAGTTTATTGTAAACAAAGTATATTAGTTCTCCTTCTAATCATTGGCCCTGTTTGGTAGAGCTTGTTTCCAGCTTATTTCAGCTTTTAAGCTATTTTGATGTGTTTGGTTCAGCTTAACAATACAACTTACAACTTTTTGTAAGTAAAAAATCAATTTATTCTTTGAGTGGGGGAGGAAAAGCTTAATTTATAAGTCAAAATCAGCTTATGTTCACAGTTATAAGTTATAAATAATCACTTTCCCACAGCTCTACCAAACGGGGCCATTGTATCCACTAGTTTCATCTCTTTATAAAAGGATGCTTTCTGATCATTGGCAGCCCCCTTCTAATAATAACAAAATTACACTTCTAGTGTTACGAATCTTGCATGTATTATTGGTGTTGTACTTATTTGTCAGTTATGATTGATGACTATCGATCTGTGTGACCTCCCAGTATGCATTGTTTATCATTAACATCTTTGAATTGTTATTATGATCTAAGAGATTTGCATTTTTCTATCATTGGTTTTTACAGATTCCTGAACTGGATTTTGAGATTCCTCCAGAGGCTCAGCGTGGATCTCTGTCAACGGTATCTCCTTTTATAACCTACTCCTAATTTCATATTATCTTCTGTACTTATGATGCTTAACTTGTCCTTTTGTTTATGTATTACCTTTTGCCAAGATGTTTACACATTATGTGAGCAATTTGACTGGTTGCCACTGGCAATTGGTACTTTCTTCCCATACACGTGCAACTTTTTATGATCTTATTTTTGTCAGATATAGATTTTGCAATGGTAGTTACACCAGAGTGTTAAAAAAGGTATTGTATCAAGTGGGACTTTTTTCTGTATTTTTTTTTCCTTCAAATTATTACATTTTTCGTGATAAGAAATGCATTGGTGATATCTCCCGTTGATGGATTTTTCCTTTTCTTTGGTTTTGTTTGGGTGCATCACATGTAAAAGCCACTTGGAGAGTACGAATTAATATCATCTCATCCCATCTCATCCCATCATTTGGATAATAACTTCGATAAATAGTTCTGCTGTGTGTAACATGCTATCATGATTATATTTCTCTGCTCTTTGTCTTACCTTGGCCATTAACTCTTCGTTCCTATATGTCTATTCGTATAACTGATGTCCAGTCATGTTAAACTAGTAATATTTTGTTAAGTCAGAATTCTGAAGTGAGTAGTGCTGAGGAGTCGCTCAATTTATAAGTTAAAAGTTCAGTATATTCTCCAAGATTGCTGGTGCATTGTGCATGAATTTTGAATAAAACCCCCTTTTTTTCTTCTTTTCATGCAGTTTTGAGTCAACATGTTTGATCTTGTGTTATTCTTTTCCACATAATTTGTGTTATTTATTTGGATGCTTATCTTTGTACACTATTAACCCCACCCCTGCTGTCTGTTTTCCAGGTGGAAGGGATATTGTTACGAGCTGCGGATGAAATAGAGGCCCTTCAAGAAGAAAGAAAGGTACATGTTAATTTGAACTCACTAGCCATTTTTCTTCATCTTCCTCCTCCTCCTTCTTAGATTCCTTACAACCTATCTTCTGCTTTTCAGAAAGTGGATCCCCAATCTGCTGAATCAATTGACCGGTTCTTGCCAAAATTGAGGGCTTGTGCAAAAGGCGAGTCACCCTTTACAATCATTCTTGATGATCCTGCTGGCAACAGTTTCATTGAGAACCCGTAAGTGCCTGCCCACACCCATTAACATTTAAATCTATAAAATGACATAATACATTACATAAGTGTGCTTTAGGTCTGATTATAGTAAAAATATAATGGTATTTGAACTGTAGAGAGGATGTCCTCCAAACCCCCTGCTAAGACTTGTGAGAACCCTCCAATATTACAAGAAATCTGCTTTTGAAGCTGAAATTCTTGTGCAAAGTTCTAGCACAAGAGAGTTTAATTAATTTGATCTTCATCGTGGTATTTCTGTTGTATGTGCTGTTTGTTGCAGCTTCAATGGGCTGCCTATGGTTATTGTCTATGTTACGCGGACTCTTTAAAATAAATCAAATACCCGTGTCGGACACCCGATACTCAGATAAGAGTATGTGATATGTGTTAGCTACTTTTCAACAGACACTTCTTATATAATTGTATGTAACACTATTATTATATGTACATATTGTTGTATAGTTGCAATAAATGTCTTTTTGACACTATTAAGTTACATATAGCACCATTTTATCTCACATACTTGATTAAAAATATAAAATATGACATTTGTTTTTGCCGAGTCCATGACCCTTAAATTTATGGTTTGAAAACTCTGACCGCTAGATACATACCCACATCTGACATCTGTATCCCGGTCCATGTAACATAGGTTATTTTTTTTTAATTTTTTTTTTTTTTTTTAAATTGTGAGATTTTGTGTGACTGTTGTTGTAACTTTTGCTAACAGCATAAGTGGTAAAAATAGCTTAATTAAGCTGGAAAAAGTTGATTATCCTTTGGCTCAGGGAGGGGTGCTTTTAGATTCTGCTTATAGATTATTAGCTTATAATAAGCTATAACAAACAGGCCCATAGTTAGTTCTTCTCTCTGTGTTTCTCCCTTTATTAATGGGGGGCCTTTAAATAAGTATATTAGCAAATGATTTCTTGTGTACCTCACTTTAAATGCTTTCTTGCTTTCTTTCTCTTCCTGTCTCTCTCTTTTTTTTTGGGGTAATCTGAAGGGCATCCACTGATCCCTGATAGGTTTGCTCCATCTCCGGATCCGTCATCGACAATTAAGTTCTATGAACGAACTCCTGAGCAACAAGCATCACTGGGGTACGTTGTCGACCCATCACTTGGGGGAGAACATCGTGATGAAGCGTTATCAGAGGAACTAAATAGTACTGGTGATCAAACTAGAAGAGAACCGCATGGATTAATTGGAGCTGCAGCTGGTCAACGGGCTATTGCTCAGGGTAATAGTGCAGAATTTGCTGAATCTTTGTTTCGGTACTCTGCACCAGAAGAGGTACAAATATCCTTTCAAAAGTTCATTCCCACCTCCTGCTTTCTTATCCCTCCTCCCGTCTTTTGTGGTGCAAATGTAGAACGTAAATTTGTTGCAAAATGAGCATGGATAATTCGCTACTCTATTTTCTTGAATTTCACATCTGTTTCTTTTATGAAATGGGAAGCTGCAATTCAATTATTTATTTATTTCTTCTTGCTGGATAGGTGATGACCTTCCCATCAACATGTGGAACTTGTGCAGCCAAGTGTGAGACTCGAATGTTTGTCACCAGTATCCTTCTTATCTCTTCTGTCATTGAGATGTGACATGGCACTAGTGGTTCTGTTTTTATACTACTTGCCATATACAAATAATATGGAATACATTTAGTGTCTGAAAGGATTGTGGAGAACGATATTTGAGGAATCTAAGATTGTTTCTACTACCATGAGTTTTGTGGTTGGAAATGAAAACTATTTTTCCCTCAGATCATTTTACCGATAAATATGCACAGGCTTTGTTGAGCTTAACAATTTAACAGATATTCCATACTTCCGAGAAGTGATCGTCATGGCATCCTCTTGTGATGCTTGTGGGTACCGCAATTCTGAGGTTTGTACATACGTATATATTTTCTTTACTATTCTCATTTTTAATATCCTGATGATGTGTATGCTTTCCCTTTGCAGTTGAAGCCTGGTGGCCGTATTCCTGAAAAAGGAAAGAAAATTACAGTTCTTGTGAAGAACATTAATGATCTAAGCCGTGATGTGATAAAGGTATGCCATCGTCACTCATATTTTTTGTGCAAATGAACGTTTTGAATATGCCTTCATGAAAACTGACAACAGCTAACTAAGGATGTTTGAATCTAATTAATGCTGAAGAAAAAAAACACAAGGGGTTCCCTAAACTTACGCTTGCTTATAGGCTTCAAATGTGCTGACTAACAATCATTTGATATATCTCAGTCAGATACTGCTAGTGTAGAAGTTCCAGAGCTTGACTTGGTACTGACAAGTGGAACATTGGGTGGAGTTGTGACTACAGTTGAAGGTTTGATCACTAAAATTAGTGAAAGTGAGTACCTTTTCCATCCTTTGGTTTTCATTTTCATGCTGCAATTTCTATCCTTCAGCTGAAGATTTTCTTGGCGGTTTTTCATCTATTTATTTTCTAATTATAGGACAGGAATGTATATGTTTCCAAATATTGATGGTTTTTGCATTCTCATTTTTAAAGATGGTATAGATTGACCAACTTTCACATGTTAGTAGTTGTTTGACTTGCAGGGATTTGGATTCCTAAATTTATGTCTTTGTGCAGTTCTCTCTCTCTCTCTCTCTCTCTCTCTAGTTAAGATACTACAGTTTGCATTGGGAGCTAGTGGATGTTATCAATATATAACTGATGTTAATGTTATAAATATGGAGATGGACATCTTCACATTATTTATCTGTGATTTTAATTTTGATTTCTTTTGCTTTGTAGTTAGTCATCCTATCAATTTTTATTTTATTGTCTCTTTTTCCTCCTTTTTTTGGTTATATGCACCAACATTTACACATCTCTTGCCAAATTGAATTATATATTATATGATTAATTGTGCAGATCTTGAGAGAGTACATGGATTTACTTTTGGGGACAGTCTTGATGATAGTAAGAAAAGCAAGTGGCTAGACTTCAGAGCAAGGCTTAACAAGGTAGTGAACTCTCAAATATGATGTTTTCAATTTTTTGCGAACTAAATAGCCATCATGGTCCCAAAAAAGGAGTGGAGAATAAATGATAAAGAAAAGCTACCATCTGTCATATGCCTGTAGCATTTCCTGAACCTTAAATTTTTTCCCTTCAATTATCAGATCAGTTCCGCAAATCCTGTACTGTGGCATTTCTCAAACCCTTGTCTACCCAAAAGAGATTATTGTAGTTGGTGTAGAAAATGATATTGTTTCTCAATTCAGAATTGCAAAAAACACGCACACACAAGATACACAGATATTGCTTAGTGTAGACAATTTTCAAGTGACTCATTTATTGTCAATTCATTTTTTCTCAATGTTGAAGACTGCACACGAAATGCATGTCCATGTTGACTCTCTCTTACCATTTGAATGTGTCCAATGGATAGTGAAATGGACTGCTGTACATTCCCATTTATTTAGCGTCTTCTCCACCTGGGCATTAAATGTATGTTATTGGTGATTTGTCTGACTGTTTAAATTATCTATGAGCATTCAACTGTCTGACTGTTACTGTACAGCTTCTGAGTGTGGAAGATCCGTGGACATTGATTATTGATGATGCCCTGGCTAATTCTTTTGTCGCACCGGCAACTGACGATGTTAAAGATGACCATCAGTTATCATGTAAGTCCTCCACACATCTCTATGGCTGGTGTTCTGGTGCAATCTTATTTATATGAGACAACTGTTGGAAGCTCTTTATGGGTTGTAGCCTTGTATGTCCCTTCTGTGGATGAAGCTGTCAATACAAAAAGTCGAACTCTTCTTTCTACTTTTTTGCACGTCTTTTTGTAAAAGTCAAAAAATACTAAAAGAAATCAATTCTTAAAACAACCCTGAGTCAACGGCCAAGTTGAAAATCCTCATAACCATGTTTTGGAGAATGGCCGGGGTTTTAATTTTTTTGGTTTTTTTTTTCTTTTTCTTCAAATAATATCTTTCTTCGAGAACATGTATAGAGCTGTGGTTTATCTGATATGGTCTTCATATTAGGCAGACAAGCCCTAGAACTTGGACTTGGACGGACCTTATTTTGTGCATATTGTACAATGCTGTTTTCAGCGCAATTTTAACCACTGGTTCAATGGTTAAAACTCGGCCTATTAAACTTGAGGTGTTATTGGTTTGAGCTTTAGGCCATCTCCAACGGTGCATCAAATTGTGCATCAGATTTGAAATTTGATGAAAAAGTCACTTTTTCTCCCTCCAATGGTTTCACCAAACTGATATCAAATTGAGAATTAAGCAAAAATTTCACTAAGCTGAGAATGCGCTGGGTCTTTCACCAAAACACTATTCATTACCGTTGTATTTTCACTACTGGATGACCCACCGGATGACCAATTTTGCGTAAAATTTTGTACAAATTTTACATTGGGAGGTCGACCACCCGGTCGACCCCCCAGATGACCCTCAAGCTTGAAAATTCAATTACAGAATTGTATTGATTTTGCTCTTTCCGGTCGACTGGCCGGTCGTCCCCCCAGACGTCCGGTACGTTTTGATGAAAGCTACAGTACACCGTTGGAGTGATTGATATCAGATTGAGCCAAATGCCTTTTTTTTACTTAAATTTGATGAAAATTTTGTTCAACCGTTGGAGATGCTCTTAGGGCAGCCACTTTGTACAAATCATGTCAAAAGTTAAGTCTATACCCAATCTACCTCTTCCAGACCCCAATGGGTACCAACCCATGCCTACTCTTTTTTCTCTATTTTTACTGTGTTTGCTAAGGATTTTTCTTTTCACAACTATTTATGGCACTTAATTCTACTTTGCTAGCATTTGTTTTCTTTTTAGTGTTGCTGTTGTATGATGTCATATTGACAATGTGCAGTCGAGGAATATGAGAGGTCGTGGGAGCAGAATGAGGAGTTGGGTCTGAATGATATTGACACCTCTTCAGCTGACGCTGCATACGAGTCGACTGATGCTACACGAAAGGAGGGAACAACTGTATGAAATTTTCTTGCTGTTTCCATGTTTTCCAATACAAGTGAAAGCACAAGCACCTAGTCCTCCTTATCTATCATTTTCAAGTTGTACGAGTTTCCTATTTTCAAGTTGAAACAATTTTGTTTTGTATTTGTTTTTTGTGTTTTTAAAGGAATCAAGTTGTAAAAACACGTGGGACGATCCCTCGTGGTAGTTTGTATCTTGTTAGATAATTGATGTTACTTTATGAGAGCAGTCTATAGTTTCTGTTTGGCTTCACCCCTCATTCTCAATTTTTATCACTGAGTTTATCTGCATGTTTGAATGTAGCATTGGGTTGCTAGTAGAAAATGAAGTGAAAGAAAAGAAATAAAAGGGAAATTATATTTTACACCAAAAAAACATTAAGGGAAATTATATTATATTGTAAGCATTTGATTAGCATCAAAATTTTTCAAGAAAGAAATCATGAGTAACCCTTTGGACAAATTAAAAAAAAATAAAAAATTGAGGGGTTATATTTTGAAAGAAATTAGAAAAAAGAAAAAAAAAAAACCTAATTATCATGTTAGTGTGAGTTGCATAGCAAAATTAAGTTTATTGTAATTTCTTCCACATTAATGCTAAACAAAAGTTGCATTTGTTTTTCCCCTTTCTCTCACTTTTCACCATTTTCATCTTAGTAGTTTCTTAGTTGTGTTTTAGTGGGAATGGCACGAGGATTGGGAAATATTTTTGATTCTATGTATGAATGTCTTTACCCTTCTCAACTAAGGTTTATACACCCCAAAATGTTCGAACATAGAGAGAGAGAGAGAGAGAGGTTTGAAACCAAGGAATCAGTTTTTTAGGGTCTTCATCAACAAATTCAACTTTCTCAACAAAATAAATAAATAAATACACAAAGTCCAGAGAGAGAGAGAGAGAGAGAGAGAGAGAAGTTTGAAACCAAGGAATCAGTTTCATAAACAAAGACAAAAGCAAGTGTACCCTTTCCTTGCATTAACACTAGAACATTCATAACAACCAAAATCACAAGGCCCTAAAATCAATAATGCCAAATGCTCCTAGCATTAAAAAAGTACAAAGTATTTCCAACTCCAAGCACAGAAACAGGGGAACAAAGGGGGAGGCGGGGGAGAAACAAAAAACAAGAATGAACATGAACAGTACCCTCCAGTTTTCAGGTCCCACTACAATTAGAGCTACAACAAATCGGTTTTTTCACCTTCCAGTAGCAGCTCTTGCACTCATAGATGTATGGTAATTGGAGCTTCTCTGTTTCCTATAAGAAGAATAAACATCATCATATTGACTCGCCTCATTTGGATTAGGGGCAGTGCCTAGTCCCAACCGTCCCGAGCTACTCGACCCAGGTTTCCTTTCTACACTTCCATCAGCATAAGTCCCTGTCTACGGATCCACCTGTAGATTTGGGGGTGGAGGAATGCAAGCTCCACCTTTGCGAACCGGCAAATTTCGTTCGTACTCGTCGTCGTCATCTTTCGAATCAGACCCATTCATGGGTCCCTCAGAAGGGTTAACCTCTCCGATCTCTTTGAAAAACTTCGACACGCTATTAAGAATTTCAGAAGGAGATACATTGGAAGGCGAGATTACAGTTGGGATATCGAGAGGGCTCATGGGAGAGTAAGGTACCCCACTGCCGATTTGCATCTTTCTGACCATTCCAGGAATAAGACCAGGTGGAAATAAAGGGTACAGGGGTAATTTTTCACCCGTGTTGCCGATTGATGGTGGCAATAGATGGGGTGCAGTTTGTTGATTTGCAGGTAGAAGAGAAGACTGTATGGGTATGGACCCGGTAAAAAGACCGGTAGGGACCGAATTGGGAAGAAACGGCTGGGTTGCTAGGGATGATGGCATGGCTGGTATAGAAGGAACTAATTTATCAGGATAGTCTTTATCAGTCAATATTGGCACCGAACCTTGCTTATCAAGCTGCCACTGTAGGGCATTATGATTTGTTGCCAGTTGTGGCAATCCTGAACACAAAGAAAAACAAGTTCAACATATATAAATTCAAAAATTCAGACAGAAAACACGAGTATATGCATACTAAGGACAAAAAAGCCACAGTAAAGAACATACTTTTCTTCAAACTTGCAATTTTCCAAGCGAGCTGAGGATCAGCATGAGAGAGAGAGAGAGAGAGAACCTGCAGTTGAGGGATCAGTTGAAGCAGCAGATAATTCCTTTGGAAAGAAATTCGTTGGTGGTCCACCAATCATCTCATTCTCAAGCACATGAATAGTGACATGATCATAGACTTCCTTGGAAGCCCAGAACTGTAAGATTTTCTGCAATCGTTTGATTTTCCTCCTTGTTTTGAGGGTTGTGGTAAATCCTGGCAAGCATGGAACCTAAAACAGGCTTAAATGCAAGCGCCTCGTTATCAAGCTCATGAGGGTTGATCCTCCGCTGCAAGCTGCATATTTCAAGAATGACCCAAAGAAAAACATATGTAGCATCAATGCACACATTGATAGCCAAAAGATTAAACAATTAAGAAGCATTCAAGTTCCTGGGTTCGCATCACAATAGCTCGATTTTAATTCCCCTTACTATATCATCAAAATCGAAGAACATTGCTATCTTGCTAAAATATAATTACCAGGATAGATCAATACCACATATTCATTAAAACACCAGTGTACTATCATTGTATCCAGTTGAACAAACTTAAAAAGAAATTTCTATCTGGGAGGAAAATCAAATTTTATTATTATTTTTTATATGACAAATTTGGAAGGACACATAATAATGTACTCGAGTAGCCAGTAGACACCACAAGATATGAGGCAGTGGAAGCATTTAAGAGGCAGAAAAAATCAGTGAATAAGAATCCTGCAATAGATGTAATAAGGAAGAAGAAAATAAAGCAATAGGTATTCACACACAGAAAAGCAGCCAAAATCAAATTCATATCAACAGCACTCAAATTTATGTTGAACTAAGATTTGGCATAGCACTGGAAGTGTACCTGTCAAATAGAATGTCATTGGCAAGGTAAATTATATGCAATTGTCTCTCAGAATCATCCACACCAAACACCCTGTCCCTAAGTGCCTTGGCCAGAGCAGGTGCAAATGGAGACCTCTGCATAAACCAAATCTTGGCACCTTTGATTGACTCTTTGGTTCCACTGAGATTGTTAAGCACATTGTTCATTTCCATCGCAACATCTGAAGGCAGAGGTCCAAAGAGACCTTTGAATGACCTGGAAGAGTGATCATAATCTGGTCGTCTATGACCAACAAAAGGCTGAGAATGTTGATGGTGCTGTTGTTGCTCATAAAACGGTGGTGTAAAAGGAGGTTGGTGCATTTGAGGACCACCCAATGGAGGAGCATTTAACGATGACTGGTTCATCATAGGATTTGGAGGACGCATCATAGGCATAGAAGAGGATGGGAAAGGTGGGTTGAAGGGGCCACCCGGGCCATGTGTAGATAACCAAAGCTTGTACCGGTAGTAATTATGGCCCTCACCACCAAATAGAAAGCTATAATCAGGATTACCTTGCTGTTTTTCACGAATCATGGCTTCAAATTCAGGGCCATTTTTGGCAGCGTACTCAACAAGTTTATCAATTCGCTTTTGGAGTTCAGGATCAGATGGTGGAGCTGCAGGGTGTGGTGGAGAATCATATGGACCAATGAAAGGTGAAGGAACAAGATGAGGGGGCATATGTGGAGGAAATACAGGTGGAGGCTGTTGTTGCTGTTGAAGATGAAGAAGGTGAGGATGTGGTGGAGGATGAGGATGGAGTTGACGTGGGGAGGAAAAGGATACTGTTGGAGAGAGGGATGTGGTGGAAGAAAAGGAGGACCGTGTACCGATGGAGGGAACTGTTGATGAAAACCAAATTGTTGCTGCTGTTGAATACTAGTTGCTTGCTGCTGCTGCTGCTGCTGCTGAACAAATGCCATAGCTGCGGCATAATCATGAGCTTGTCGATCCATATTACAGATTTAGGGAAACCTTTGAAACACCTAATCCAATAAATAAAGCAAAATATGAAGAAGTCCCTCTACTACAATAGCAGAACAGATATTGGAATAAAATGCATTTAAATATGAGTATCCAATATGTCGTTCAGCAGTATATGATTAATGAAACTGTCAGGTTTTATGCAGTGTTTGGTTCACTATAATGAACGTTGGAATGGAATGATTATTCCGTCAAAACACCCATTACCCATTCCCATGTTTGGTACGGTAAAAAGTAAAAACATATATTCCAAATAGAATCACCAGAATGACCATTCCACTGGGAAGTCAAAGAACAACCATCCCATTCCTACCCAAAATCATTCCAACAAACCAAACACTCTCTTAAGTGTTAAAAGGCCCCTCTTTACAAAACCACCTTGCATTTGCTGAACAAAAAATCAACTTCACAAAGTTTTATTGAACGATTAACCTAGTTACCTAGGTTTCACTAAGGCCTTCTAGAAGAGTCAGGATTTCAGCTTTGACAGAACACTAATCCCTCCTGGTCATGAAAGGATAGTCATACATACCCTCTCAATCCCTTTTGAACAAATCGATTCCTAAATCAATAAATCACAAGGAAGCAATAATGGCAAATTCTTATACAAGGGAAGAAAAAAATTCTCAGGAACCCAAAATCGTTATATGAAATAAAAAAATTAAACAGATTTTCCTCATATTCTAAATCAGAAGCATAGAAAAATTGTGAATGTGAAACCCTATAACAAAAAAAAAAACAACTAATTGTAGATGATCTGATAAAATATCAACAACCAAATTTGATTTAAATGGTTCCAAATACTAAAATCAGAACACATAGACAACAAACTATAATTCATATGTTAAAAATACTAGTTTTTTCAATTACAAACAAGAAAATAATGAATGGGGAAAGTGGGTTACTCATATTCACAAATTATCTAGACAAAGCTCTCACCTTTTTCACCCAATAATGAAAAAATCAGAACACATAGACAACAAACTATAATTCATATATAAAAATACTAGTTTTTTCAATTACATACAAGAAAATAATGAATGGGGAAAGTGGGTAACTCATATTCACAAATTTTCTAGACAAAACTCTCACCTTTTTCACCCAATAATGAAAATTTCTTCAGATTTTGGAAACAAAGACAAAGAACCCAGATTGACGGGAAGGCAGAGGAGGAGAGGGGTGGTACCTGGAGAGTGGAGGACTGCTTCAATGGCTGTGGCGATGGGACTATGAGTTCTCTCTTTCAATATCTCTGCGTAATCTGC